TTGTTTACATAGATAGTTGAGATATAATCATAAATATACATAAATATTTGATGCGACTGCTAAGATAGATTAGCGTAAATTATTTATGTTGTGAGTGTTAGTAATTAGAAAGAAAAACACAAGTACAATACATAAACCCTGGCATAAATAATGGAACAATCCTAAGACTATATGTCCTGTTGCAATGAAGTTGAATCATTTATATATGACCATATTTCTATACTCTTTGATACTGCATGCTGATGATCAAATTGAAGTATGATTTATTGTACTCTATTATATATATTATAATATATGGCCACTGTTTAACAGGTAGATGTAATTAAAACTATACATTAAAAATCGCACAGCTCCTGTTGATATCTCATATGAGTTAAACACAAGACATTTGAAAAAAAAACGTTGATTATGAAGCACTTTCATGTGATTGCAATGAAAGCATTATTCAGTCTCCTGTCTGGGCAGTCAGCGTACACCAAATGTACACAGGGTATAAACTTATGTGAAATGCGTCTATCGCTCGATCTGTGCCACATCTAGTGGACTTTCTATATTATGCGACACACACCAGAAAGAAAGTTTAATGTTCTCAATTGTAGAAAGCTAACAATACTGTATTTCCATCAGTTTGACGATGATGGTAAAATTTGACAGAGGGGTTTCAACGCGCCTATTCACATAAGTTCATACCCACCATAGACACTGGTCAGTCAAAATGACTATTAATCTGCGAGTCAGTCAATGACTGAGAGAAAAATCTAGGTCAGGGCAAACCCCATGATCTCATAAATTTTCTTCCACGTCCCGTACACGTGACCAGGATCAAGAGGGTGATGCCATCTTGCCTTAATATCACTTCTGGTTTTCTCCGTATACAAAGAATAAGCCAATCCCTACAGAGAAGTGGGGTGGTCGGGAGGGCCCTGGATTCTATAATGGGTATGAACTATGTGAAGGCAGGTTGAAAACCCTCTGCCTAAATTCACTTCATTCAATTACTCACTATAGACTCCGGTTAGACAAAATGACTATTTTGAACTGTAGGCAGAGTCAGACGCCGAGAGGTGGTGGGTTTCCGAGCAAAAACAGAAACAATAATGGGTGTCCCAGCCGGGACAATATTCCTTACTTACGACGACCACCTTGTTAACCAAGTGACTTACCTTGTCAGTGTTATCCCATCTGGTCTGAGATTGTCAATTGCCATCCATCAGGATAAGGCATCCATCTCTTGGTCCGCGAGAGTTACTTACCTCTGCAGTTCTGCTGCGTAATGCAGCTTGGGGAACTACCCTGTGAACTGACGCCATCAATCCAATGATATGCATCAGCTGTCGGAAAGAGACCGGGAGAGGTCTGACTAGACGTTCAGCTAGGTCACTTAGTGCCCGACAACTAGCCTGTGATGACTGTACCAAGCCTGCTTCCATGTCAAACTTCATGCCGAGTAACACCAACTGCTGTGTTGTGTGGGGATGGGACATTTCTCGATTTACCTGGAAGCCCAACTGGTGTAGTGAATCCCATGTTAGCCTTACTTGCTTGGCCAACAACCCCTTGTTTTGGTTGTGTAGCAACCAGTCGTCTAAGTATGGGTTGATGTGTACCGACACCCGGTGCAGCAGCAGCACCACCTGTTTGAACACGTATGGAGCCATGCATAACCCGAAAGGAAGTACCTGAACTCAAATACTTGGCCCAATTGGGCGAATCACTGTCACTCACTTGCTGGGTGCATTGGTATGTGGAGGTACATGTAAGCATCGCTTAAGTCTAGTGATGCTAACCAGTCAAAAATGTGCACAGAGAGTAAAACGGTGCTTGGTGTTTCCATGCAATATCGATTGAGAAGCATATACTGCTTAAGTCCAGAACTGGACGCCAGTCACCTGCAGCCTTTGGAACTACAAACACTTGTGAGTAGAAGCCCAGGTTTATAGCAGGGTCTCTTATCCAGTGTATAGTGCCCTTTGTGAGCAAACTGTATACCTTTTGTTGGATTGCTTCCACCTTGCAGGATCCGGTCAGGCGTGCAGTTTCGACCCATACCTTGCCTTGGTATCGGAAATGGAGACCACACCGATTGGGTAGCATCTGGTCCAGCGGAAGGAGTTGAACAATAAGATTGCTCCAGCCTGGAGCCTTAGGAATAGACTCCTCCTGCAGGAGACCAACATCCGCCCATCAACACCATCTGTGTGCCCTTAGCTATGCCCACCACTCGGCCAAGGGGCCACCCAAGGTTGTACTCGCTGTGTCAGAAAGCGCCAAACGCCCTCCCCTCACCTTAAGAAAGTGAGCGAGAGCGTGTGTTCAACAGCATCTCTGCTGGCCGGGTCAGTCCCCTCTGAGAACGCCTGTCACTTGGGCAAACCTCCGCCTCAAAATCAAACTGTGAGGATGCCCTCAGATCAGCAGGGGGCCGAGAAACCTCGGATCCTCCCACTCGTCGATGCAATACCCGAGACACCGGCAGACAAGCGGGAGGTCTTTCCGCCCATGCTAGAATTCCACTCACACATGATCACAGAGCCCCCAGAACTGAATGTGCAACTACCCCAAGCCACGCGATCAGGCTCAGCAACTTGCACCCAGGCCTGAAAAACAACCCAGGCCTCAGAATCCCAGTTGTCACACACGTTCTCACTGCAAAACCCCAAGTCTTGAACAAACTCAAAGCAGATATGGCATTTGCTATGGGTGTTCCAACCCAGGAGTTTCTGGTGGCAATTATCACACAACCAATTTGACCTTTGGACGACAACTAGGAGGTGAGAAGACCTTGGACTGTTCTCTTTCTATCCATTTTTTGAAATGAACAAGGCATGAAAGAGGAACGAATTACAGTTAAAAAAGCTGACACAAAGAGATCCAACAATGTGGTCGAATGCGTCACCTGAGTTTTTTTTTTGTAAGCAGTGCACACAAAAAAGACATGGGCCGCAAAAATAAGAAAACTTATTCTACCAGCCACTGCGTCTGCTATAACTGACTGTTCAGAGCTTCCCAGACAAAACTCAGTTGAAAATTATGGAGAATGAATCACACTGTTTTTGCTACGATGCACTCGGTGCGGAGAAAAACAGAAGTGATCATAAGGCAAGATGAAGTCGCCCTCTTGACCTCGATTACGTGTGCGTGACGTGGAAGAAAATCTATGGGGCTTTCTCTGACCTAGATTTCTTTTTCTGTCATTGGCTGAATTGCAGATTAATCAGTAATTTTGGCTGACTAGAGACTATGGTGGGTAATCAAATGTAGTGAATAAGAATTTATAAAACATTTCACTCAGTCATGGAGCACTGAGTCTCTAAGTTGGTTACCTCGTCTTAGTCTATGTGTTATTTGCATCTCTTTATGAAGCTTGTTGCTCAAGAGGGACAGGCAGTAGATGGGGAGAACTGCAAGATTTATCTTGCTGATAGGTTAAATTTCATCAAGTGGGCGCAGTCAAATTATTAACTAAATGCCACTTCACGGCTATGAACCAGTGGCCAAGTGAATTGGTCACATTCCACAGTGGTTCTTGGATCAATGAGAAGAATCATGTAACATGCGTGTCACACACAAGATATCAAGGGGAAGTCAGTCTCAAATATTCATCTGCCATGTGGCTAGTCAACACGTGCACACAATCCAGATATGGAGTTTAATCAATGTCAGATGGTTACGAACTCAGACGAGCCTCACGTAATTTTCAATTATTTTCATCAGGTTTTGTTTTGCTACATGTAATAATTGCAATGCATGTACTTAATAAATCATTACAACAAATTGGTTTATTTAATATACGATATCACATATCAGCAATTCAAGTTCGATTTTTCCTGATTATTGGGACGGAAATCCGGAGATTTTCACTGTCCATGAGAATACCACCCATGAAAACTCTAAACTGTGTCAAAACCTATTTTAATCTTATGAATAATCTTGTTTTTGTGCAAGACTCTCACTTCATTTAGTAACGTACAGCCGATGATGTTTCCATATCTCTAGACACCTCACTCCCGAGGGGAAAAATGCCATTCCTCAGCTTGAACATGAATGAACTGATTTTCCCGAATGATAGTTTTATTAAGAAAACATTCTTTTATTTGAGCTGTTGGCACACCAGCATCTTTACTGGAAGTAATATTCATAAATATGTCAGTAATGTTACTAATCTAACAATGTCACATAGTTTTTCAGTGAATCTATGACTTGAACGAGAATTTCCACTGCAATCTTTACATACAGGCTACATGCCAACTTGGTGATTAATTTATTTTATGGTTATAAAATAGAAGATTTTGAAACATTTAATGCGCAAGTAGGAGATACAGCAATAGACGTGTTTGTTAGTCGTCAGCATGTAATTAGACAAAGATCTCAGGCAGCGACAGGCCAGACCTCACCGTGGTGTTATATGGCTACTGTTTAAGAGGTAAATGTAATAAAATAATACACTAAATCATCTGCTCTAATGTACTCTGTATGTACATGATGGATACCAGATTTCAGTGCAATGTGATTAGCAGTTCTGAAGAAGATTACCAAAAGCTTCTTTGTATTGTTAATTATAGCACAAAAAGTCACGCGTCACATAATTTATATTAGTGATAAACAATAAATAGTAGATACATGCATACGTTGATGATGCTACAAGAAAAATTATCGCAGAGAACCCCAAGTAATTTATTTAGATCAATAAGGCCAATTGTTCTTTGATCTGTGTGTGCCCATTGGTACTGTTTTTTTGTTCTCCAATTATGTAGCATACTGGCAACTTGGCTTTTACAAGGTTTAATAACCCTTGGTAAGATTTTAACTCACTTTGGACTTCAAATTATTGTACACACACACAGTGAGCATTTGATTAATACAATTCATAACCACTAAACAACATACAAACATATCACCGCAACTCAACACCCGTGAGATATTAAAGAAAAACCAATTACTGTAACCCTACAAGAAATATATTCAGGTCAGCAAATAAATAATTTAATGAAGATAAAATATTAATACCTGAAAACATTTATTGTTTAAAACAATTTTATTGTTGGGCTTTTTCATATACTAGATTGTGGCCCCAAGTTTCACCACAAAACATTAAATATTCAATACAGATAAAATGACTTGAACTGAAATGGTGAAGGCTTAAGCTTGTATACACATTAATTATTGAGTGTGAGTGATAATGTTCTTCTTAATATACAATACTGATATAAAATAAGCCAATATAATTGACACTTGGATACATTATTGAATGCCTAAACAAATGTGTTATCAAGTTTTCCTCTATCAAAGCATGTTGTTGTTATCTTACATTATCAGTGCTACATGTAGGAGCTCAAAGCTTTTGATATAGTTTCAGGCAGTGATGTACATGTATTCTATTTTTTTCCTGTGTTCACATCGTGTACTGGATAATTTCTTCATAATAATCTCTTCAGGAGTGCATTAGTTCAAAAAAGAAAGTTTCTTAAAATCAACAAACATTCGTTGTTTGTGTATACTATATTGGTGCATGCAAATAAAACTAAACACCGATGAATATATCGATTTAATAAAAAATATTAAATATGCAAATAAGGTTATGAAGTAAACTTACACACTAAAAACAGAGGAAGTATAATGAATTGTTGAAACTAATGTCTGCTATTTCTGATATGATTAAGTTCGTCAGGTCTACACTACACCATTATAATTTTCGAAGTTCCTGTAAAAAAACAAATATAATCTTTGAAGAGAAAAAAGATTACGGTTCATTTTCATTGAACATTGTAATTTGAGTTAACGTATAAAGTTGTGTAATGTATTTAGCTGAATTGACTTTGGTGACATAGCAGAAATGATATCAAATCATCAAAACAAAAACTGGTATTTCTACCTTTCTAACTACTCAGTATTTCTGGTTCACTAACAGTACTATGTGAATGCTAAGTTTAAAATATATTATAAGCCTGTTATTGTATTTCAGTGGGAAAATAGCTGCCATTGGGTGTATTATAGTGTGCATAAACCCTTGCTTTCTACCTAATTTAAACAAAATCAAAACATGTAAAAAAGCTAATACATTTAAAATATAAAAGAAACTTCCACCAATCCAATCGCAAAGGTAAATGTAATGTGTGAGTAAGCCGACATAAATGATATTAATTCAAAATTTGAAACGAATTGATGCACATAATTATGTTAACTATTATGATCTGCCTTCATTTATAACCAATTTAAACAAGCAGCCTGTCGGCTGAGATAGCTCCGCTGTTAGCAATGAACAAATTTAATTAAAAAACAGAAGATATTATTAGAAAATGAACAATATGTATAGTATCAAAGCAATCAGACTTGCTGTTTTCAACAAGAATCTGAAAATGGGCCATTCCAGTTTATATCTGCACCTCCACCCTGTTGATGAGCTTGTGTGTTTACTTCATACAGAGTATAATTTCCATGGGTGTACAAGTCATACAAGGTTTTATTTCCAAATCACCATTCACCATACAGTAATAGAAATCCAAAACTATAGTTCCTACTTATGGTGTTGATGAGTTCCATTGTGCCACCATACAGAATAGGATTTCTAAATACAACTCTCATCATATGCTAATTTACCAAGTTCAAAATTTTATATTTGATAATGGAAATCCAAACTAGTCCTCATTCATGGTGTTGATGAGCTCATTCGTGCCACCATCCTAATGTTATTTCAGTAATAACTATTTCATACTGGCCCAATTTTTTTACCATATACAGTCAGAATTCCAAGTTTTCTTTTAGTCATACTGTTGGAAATTCAAACTCATCAACCGGTATGTGGAGAGATAAACTAGGCCATATTTTATTTAGTAGCCATAACTGCCTGGATTTCCAGGATTTTTTTTTCCATACTCATCTGGATTTCCAGATTCTGTTTCTCCATATACAGTTGGAATTCCGGGGTATTTTCCCCATCATACAGACCACATCAACAGTGGGGGGGGGGGGTGCAGATATAAACTGGAATGGCCCAATATCACTTTTTACCAAAAATATTTATCAAAATTAGAGAAGTGAAGTTATCATCATGAAATGAACAAATCTGAGAGGTCTACCCAAGGTACATATACACCAAATATCAAAGCCTTCAGGCTTGTAATTTTCAAGAAGAAAAAGTTGAAAAAGTAAGAAGTTGATACGGACAATCACTCATACATTGTAGTATAAGCTCCGCTTGACAAAGTCAACAGTAGAGCTAACAAAATCAGTCAAAACTGTGAATGATAAGTTTAGAATAATTGTTTATAAAAATGCATAATTTCACATGATATCATAATTTCTCTACATGATTGAGGATCACTATGTCCAGCAATGATGGCGAGTTTATGACCATGATGAAGAAAAACATTTTACCTGGTGTACAAACTGTGGTAATACAAATGCAGCACTGTGTATTGCACTATTGTAATATCGTAGATTTAGCTTTTCTAGTTCCTCTCTGGACCACTTTCTAACTGGTTCATTAAATTTAGTTTTCTGAAATATAAATTAAAAGAAAAACAAATAATCCTAATGTGAACATGTGTCAGAATAGGCAATCTGGTCAGGCAGTTTGTGATTATAGTGACTTCTAGACTTGATCAATGTTCATTTTTGATGCATGAAGCCACCAGAAAAAGCATACACAAATTTTTACACAGTAATTTTATTTTTTTAATATCGTCAATGCACAGTCCCCAGTTGGTATTATAGATAGTCAGTCAATGTTTAGCACCAAGGGACTCTTTCATCATATGCATGCTTACACTAAATATTGTATTTTTCATTGTATTTTAGAGAAAGTAACACTGATAACCATAAACAGAAATGGGTGTCAGTTGGCCATTTTTGTTTTGAAAAATGACAGGCACCTGTAACTCCGAATGCAATTTGAATGAAATTGTCCTGTCCAACTCAGAAAAATGGTTTCAGGCACTTTAACAGACTGGGAATATAGTGTTTGATTTAAGTCAGATACCTATAAACTAAACAAATATTATCTGTGTATAGTAGAAAGTATAAATACTTTTAACCGAATGAGGCGATCAATGAAGAATTGATATGGACATGCATAAAAACAAAATGGCCACTATTTTGTCCAAATCTTGAAAATGTATGTGCACCTGTAACCCAATAAACCGATCATGACAAAGTTTGAAAGAAACGACCAAGGCCTTTTCAAATAAACAGTTCCTGACACATCTACACAAATATCAGAATTTAGTAAATTGAAGAATGAAAATTATCGCTAATCAGCCATATTTAGTCAAATTGTTAAAGAAAACTGAATACATACAAGTATGTAGGGTATCATGCATAGTCTTTGTGTAAAGATTGAATACGATTGGTCAAAAGTAGCTCTGCATAGACAGACAGAACCCAAATTAGTAATTTCTGACTCTGTCACACTTTGGCTTATCAAATCCGTCTGTCTATTCTGTCATACAATGTTAGTACTTACTGGATTAATAAACTACATAATGTATGCAACATGCACAACATACATGTATACCATGTACACGAACATTTGATTGTACTACAAAGCATAAAGCCAATATGGTAGTTACTGGATTGAGACTACAAAGCATAAAGCAAATCTGATACTTACTGGATTGAGATTACAAAGCATAAAACCAATCTGGTACTTACTGGATTGAGACTACAAAGCATAAAGCCAATCTGGTACTTACTGGATGGAGACTACAAAGCATAAAGCCAATCTGGCACTTACTGGAATGAAACTACAAAGCATAAAGCCAATCTGGTACTTACTGGATTGAGACTACAAAGCATAAAGCCAATCTGGTACTTACTGGTTTGAGACTACAAAGCATAAAGCCAATCTGGTACTTACTGGATTGAGACTACAAGCATAAAGCCAATCTGGTACTTACTGGATTGCGACTACAAAGCATAAAGCCAATCTGGTACTTACTGGATTGAGACTACAAAGCATAAAGCCAATCTGGTACTTACTGGATTTGAGACTACAAAGCATAAAGCCAATCTGGTACTTACTGGATTGAGACTACAAAGCATAAAGCCAATCTGGTACTTACTGGATTGAGACTACAAAGCATAAAGCCAATCTGGTACTTACTGGATTGAGACTACAAAACATAAACCCAATCTGGTACTTACTGGATTGAGACTACAAAGCATAAAGCCAATCTGGTACTTACTGGATTGAGACTACAAAGCATGAAGCCAATCTGGCCACTGGGATAGGTTGGAATAGTACAATAGCCATATCTAACAACTGGATACAATGTTTTACAAAATGATGTCATTTCTTTGATTAAATCAAGATGAAGCCATTGACATTCTCCTGTTAAGAAAAAGAACATGATAGTAGTTCAAAGTTTAACTGTCATTAGAAATGTTCACAACAGTTAGAAGAGGTACACATATGTTTACATATTGACAATGACTAGCGGTGTTAAAATTCAGTCATGCATTTCATAGGCAAGCAAGTAAGTTTGATCAATGATCACAATTACATTGCGCCTTGTCATAATGTTTTGTGCTGTTAAAGTACTAGATACAACTGTGAGCAATTGTGTTTTACTGAACTGCTTACAACATATAGTGCGGGAAATGTACATGTAGGTAAATCCCAATCACCGAACAGGACAATACTAGAACCTTAGAACACACAGATGTACAGTTTTGATGAGTGTCAATGTAAATATGGACCAGGATATCAAATAAAATGTGAAAGTTTCATCAAATTGAAAAAAAAAAAGTTAGGTTATCTAAACTTTCTATGGAAACAATGGCTGATTTCTCCTATACCATTTAGCCATTTGAATCAAACTAACGCAATAAAGTCATAATTCCAAAAACTATCAGGTACCCCCCCTCCTCCACTGAAGTCAAATATCTAAATACATATAGACAGCTAGAGATATGGGCTAAAGTCAATGATTAATTGTTGTACCAAATGATATTTCTAAGTGCCAAAAATATGGCTATATTGCTAATGAATTCATTTAGTGAGTTTACAAGGAACTAGTATATGAACAGGTAATTTATTTCGCCTAATTCACTGCACAAATGTTCAGAAACATTTTCAGTAGATTGAATTTGGCAAGTCTGGATTCCATACAACTGTTTGGCTGGTTATCATGGCTCGCAATTCATGTCAGAAATGTCTGCCAATACCCTTCATAGTCAATGGTGCCAATCATTAGATATGCAAATAGATATGCTAATTTTCTAAAACAATAGATGACAGTTCTACATTTCCCTCATGTACCTGTAAACCTAATATGCATGATCCTGATAACAATTTTGAATGAGTCGCCCTGTTTATTTCTGAGAAACGGGTCTGGACATATTTGAATATCAGAATTTAGTAAATTCTGCCAGTCAGAAAGGTCTTATATATGTATAATATTCTATTAACCTTATTTTCATGTCTTTAACATTTTCACCATCAGTTCCCTCTTTTCATCACAAAATAGTTCTGTTTATAGTCTACACTATAGTCCTTCAGAAGATTTGGACAAAAATAGCGAATTTTTTTTTTTAAATAAAAAACGAAAATTCACCCAAATTTTGTTTTGAGTGATTTACAATTACTATGGCCAAAACATTCCATCATACATGTATCTCAAAATTTTGTTTGGTAAACTATGCTAAAAAAAAAGTTATGTAGTATTATGAGGGCTACATTGGAGTATTTTGACTATCCATAGAATAATGTGTTCACATGGATTCCAAATGGCTGCTTTTTGATTATTTTGCATGTTAAGTTTTCTTGAAAACGCCTCCTTTCTCCATAAAAACTTTAAACATAAATGACTTGTATGTATGGGAACCATTATTATTGTCTTGCATTATCACAATAACAACTCACTAATTCAATCATGACTTGCTTTAGTACATTTCTGACTACGTCTGCCATCTTGTGATTATATACAGTGTGTTTTAAACATTCTAATAGTAAATCACTGTTTCGAAGCATAAACTAAACTAAAGAAAACTATTTCAGATTGCTATACTTAATAAATCATTTGTGAGCTTGATCAACATACAAATGTATGTCAAATACAATTCACACAACTTTGCAATAATGTTTTTGAATATGGTATATATTAATGTTTCTGTTATTTACCATTATTTTCAGATATTAACCAATGTGCGTGGTGATATTAAGTTATACATGTATATACAGACTGCTAACTGTATTACATTTTATAATTTAATTAGAATATATTGTGAATAAAAATCATAACTGTTTTCAAAAACAAACAAAACATAATTTCTGAAGTTGTCCAGTGTATGTACAATTTACTTTTCTGGGATTGCAGCAATAAATTTTTTTATTTGGTGATTAAGTTAGTCAGCCACCATGAGAAATTATTATTTATTTTCTGTGTTAAGACAACCTGTAAAATTGGGTCTACAAATGGGTTAGTATGCCAAAGACTCAAATGAAAGACCAAATCTGCTGGCCAAGATTCATTAACTAATGGATGTGACCTTGGGGAAACCCTGGTTAAGTTCTGCAGGAGTTCAAACAGATCTGATTGATCTGCATAGCACATCTACATGTAATTGCCATTTGACATTTGAAAATTGCAAAGTTGAGGTTGGCAGAATTAAAAATAACAGTCTGTATATGCAACTTTAACATCAAAACAGATGTCGGTGAATGTTTAAAAACACCAGTACATATAGCATAAACATTAATATTTACCATACATGTATACATGTACCATTAAAAAAGGTAATTGCAAAGTTGTCAAATGAGTCATGTTTTGGTATCTATGGAGATGACCTCACACTTTTGAATTGAGTGCATCACCCAATCATCTTCATCAATAGCCCATTGGGGTCAGGAAAACAAAAGTATCCAATGGGCTGTATCACATGGAACAGGCATGATACACAGGATAAGTTAACCACACAAAAAAATGTTTATATTTGCTGATTGCAAGTCCCACTTATTAATATGACTTCTCCAAATTATCTACACTGTCAAGTTAACACTACATGTATGCATCTAATTAAGGATTTCTAAATGAAAAAGGTTTACAATCTTGTATTTTTTATGACAATTTAGGACAATTTCACATTGGCTATATTAATTATGTGAATGTTTTATGTAAAAAAATAAAAAAGTCAATTATGGTTTTTAAAGTGCCAAAAAAAAATATTTTGATAATTGAAACATGATAGAAAAATCTAACAATCATATTTTGCTGAAAATATTGACTACATATTAAGTAATCATGATTACTTGTGTTGCTAAGCAACACAGGTTGAAGATAATTTTCTAATTATCAGTATTTTCTATGAACAGTTGTATGACAACAACTTAACACTAACAATAATTCTTTATGTTGCCGTGGCAACAATTATAGATACCTTACCTTGTGTACAGACTATACCATTTGGTTTTAATGCTGCTTTCATTAACTCATAATAGGGTTTCTCAAACAATGACTCAGCTGGGCCTACAACAAAACATCATGAAATATTATTCTTACTCACTAACTGTTAAAAACACTGATATATTGTAGCACAGACATTTATTTTATGATTCTCTGTGTGACTTTATTATGCACTCATCTCATGGCAATCATTATACTGTAAAATACTTGTTTTCGCTTGGAATTAATTTTCGCTATTTTCACTGAAGTAATGATTCAGTGAAAATAAAATCCAGCAATATACTTTTTTTCCTATATTTTACATTCAACTCGCCAGAAATCAGTGAAAATAAATTTCATACAAAACACTCAAAAAGTTTTTTTTAGCAAAAATTAATTCCAGCTAAAATAAAGTATTTCACAGTACTTCAAAGTTGATCAATAAATACAGTTTCAAGTCTTTGTAATTTATATTTTGCAAAGAGATTATATAGGTCATATGTGAAAAAGAATAATGGTGTCACATACCAATTTTTCAGATAAATGTGATACCACTGTATGCAGATTACATAGTTAATATATCATACTCTATTGATAAAAATTATATTTTAAATTTTGCAAATAGATAATATAGGTCATATGTGAAAAAAAATAATGTCACAGAAATTTTTGTCTTAGATACAGTAGATGGGATACCATTGTATGCTGATTACATAGTTAATACATTAGACTGTTGATTAAAATACGCCTTTTGAATGATTTTTTTAAAAAACTTGTGTTAATATAAAACTGTGCCTGGACGTATATTTTATTAAAAAACAAGCAGCCTCTCGGCTGAGATAGCTCCACTGTTAGCAATGCACATTACAATTAAAGAACAGAAGATATCATTAGAAAATGAACAATATGCATAGTATCAATGCAATGGGACTTGCTGTTTTCAACAAGAATTCGAAAATATCACTTTTCACCAAAAATTACAAAAATATTCATCAAAATTAGACAATTGAAGATATCATCACGAAATGTACATATCTGTGAAAGGTCCACATGTAGTATCTATATATGTAATATGAAAGTAATCAGACTTGTAGTTTTTAACAAGAAGTCAAAAACATCACTTTTTACCAAAAATTACAAAAATATTCACTTAGAGAATTAAAGATATCATAATGAAATGAATAAATCTAAGAGAGGCCTACCCAAGGTACATATACACCAAATATCAAAGCATTCAGGCATGTAGTTTTCAAGAAGTTGAAAAAGTAAAACATTGACACGGACGACAGATGGCGATGGACACCGGACGCCAACAGACAATCACTCATATGATAAGCTCCGCTCGACAAAGTCGACAGGGGAGCTAAAAAAAGAGGTACACAGACATATTTCAAACTGTTTAAGTAGTTTACCATGAGCTGATTCATGAGCAATAAAATCAAACAAATCCAGCTACGTGAAACTATACTAAACCAGCCATGCATGGCACAGTCCTCGTTAGTTATCAAATTTAAGATATATAGTTTTATTTATAGTAATATAGCTGGAATATAACCATGTCAGGAATATGATTTTTTAACATTAAAATGATTGACATTTGTATCTGATCGTCAAACAAGTACTTGTCCATATTGAGAGATATTGCTCTGGAACAGCATTCAAAATCAGCCATTTTGAATACACGTATATATATATATATATATATATATATATATATAACATGATGTATAACGAATATATAAAATTTGTATATATAATCAGTCAAAGCATGTCAGAGATATGGCTCTAGAAGCCCAATCATTAAAACAAAATTGCCGCCAGACAGCCATTTTGAATCCAATCTGAAAAATAAAATGACGTGCATCAGGAACCCGTAATGTCTAATATATGTACCAAGTTTGAACAAAATCCATCCATAAATGCCAGAAATGCTTGATATTTGATGATTCTTTAGCACAAAAATGGCCACCATTTGGCCATTTTGAATACGATCGTCAAACTAATCTGTTTATTTATGACAAGATGTATAATGAATATTTAAAATTTGAACATAAACAGTGAAAGCAAGTCAGAGATATGGCACGAGAACCATATTCATTAAAACAAAATGGACGCCAGTCGGCTATTTTGAATCTTATCTGAAAAACAAAATTATTTGCATCAAGGTCCCGTAATGTCTAATGTATATACCAAGTTTGAACAAAATCCATCTGTAAACAGCCGAGAAATGCTCGATTTTTTGGATTTTTTATCACAAAAATGGCCACTATCAGGCCATCTTGAATCAGATCGTAAAACAAAATGATGTGCATCAAGGTCCCATAATGTCTAATGTATATACCAAGTTTGAACAAAATCCATCTGTAAACAGCCGAGAAATGCTTCATTTTTAGGATTTTTTAGCACAAAAATGGCCGCCATTCGGCCATCTTGAATCAGATCGTAAAACAAAATAATGTGCATCAAGGTCCTATAATGTCCAACGTATATACAAGGTTTGAACAAAATCCATCTGTAAACAGCTGAGAAATGCTTCATTTTTAGGATTTTTTAGCACAAAAATGGCCGCCATTCAGCCATCTTGAATCAGATCGTGGAACAAATTGACGTGCATAGGTATAATATCATGTATGATGTATGTGTGAAGTTTGATTGTGATTGGTCCAGGCATTTCTAAGATACAGGTCTGGACGCACACACAGACGCACGCACGGATGCACGGAGGTCAAAACATAAGTCCCCGTTTTCAGACTGTGCTCGAACGGGGACTAATAACCATAACATGACAATAGCCAAATCACATGTGTTTTTTTATGACACTGTGCCACAAGCTAGGCTTGGCTACATGTTCTAGAAATGATAGAACATATTTGCTCAATTAGAAGCAAACCTCTAATATAAGCATCACAAAAAAAGACAAAAAAAAATTGCACTGTACATGTACATATACTAGATCATTAAAATTTGACTTATTTTGACAATAGACACACCTTAGTCATTTACAAAAGTATGTGGGTGTATTCGCTGCAAATACAAAGACAGAATAAAATGTTCAAAACAAAATGACACAGTGTCGTGTATAATATGGTCACTTACCTATAGGATCAGAAGAGTCTGTTATTATGACATCAAATTCACCTTTATGTTCACCCATGAAAGCAAAACCATCCCCGATATGCTGCAGCAGCTTGGGACTCTCATAACCCACTGCCATTGTAGGTAAATACTTTTTAGATACTTCTATCACTTTCTGTCAAAAAAACAACAAAAAATGAATATTTGCATTAAATCCTTGAATACTAAAATCAAATTTGTTAATATTTTCTTCAAAAAGACAGTAAAAATAGGCAATGTACCTACCGGGTATGTAAAGTTTAATTCGTCCAAAATATACAAAATTTATAAAAAAAATACATAAAAATGCATGAAATATTGCACCAAAACTGACTCGATTACTCCAAAAAAGTCTTCCATTTTATAGTATTGGGAGGTTGATGTTAGCATGTATATCTATATTCACCAAACCTTTTTTTTTTTTTGGCAAAAATGCCATTTTGTGAATTTTGGCAGCATTTCATTATTTAAGAAATATTATTCATATTAACGATTTAGACTAATTTAGAAATTCACATTTGTTTGCAAAATTATTACTTATAACCTACTATGACAGATGAATTGATAATTATTTTTTAAATTCACTAAATGACATTTTCTGACAACAGACTGGCACTGATTATATAATTCCCTATAATAGTATAGCTAATACATGTATATGGACACTGTATTATGTCAGTGTTGTACACTAGCACAATAAGACAATATTGAGGGTTACACTGTTGAATTCCTGTGATATTGAACTAATACATAGTGAGACGCTTCATTTGGGAATGAAAAATCAGAAAATGATGCTGATGTTAGACATGCTGAAAATTGTTGTTATTTGAATGGTAATTTCGCACTCTTAGACCATCAAGTATTTCACTTAATAGTCCACATGATTATTTCAGAATATGACTGCATTATAAACAAATTAAAATAAGGCTTCACATTAAGAATGTATCAACTTTAAAATATTTTTTGTTCAAAAGATATATATATCCTGCGTGTACATCTCCTGGGACATTTTTTGCATACCTCAGTGTACTTGGGTTTTGAACATACCCTAGATTCTACATGTACTAGTATATTGAAAAATATTGAAAAAATCTTTCCAAAAGCCTGGTGAAACAAGAATTTCATGAAAAAAAAACACTCAAATTTATTGTGTATTCTACTGTATCTGTGCAAAATATATTGAAAAATAAAAATCTACAAGAAGAAAATATTTCATCTTCACCAAATAAAGCAATGTATTAAACATTAATACAAAACTATATAAAATCCAATAATTACAATTTTGAACCTTATCTTGCTACAAAAATACCAGACAAAAAATTATTATATCCATATTTGAAACAAGTATTTGTACCCTGTAACCACGATTTAGTAATTGAGAAAAGAAGGGAGATTTAAGATAAATTACGACTTTGTCCTAAATACCATTTAAATAAACAAAAAAATCTTGACAGATATTGGGCCATTCCAGTTTATATCTGCACCCCCCTGTTGATGTGGTCGGATTTCCAGCACTGTATGATGGGGAAAATACCACGG